TCTAGAAGACACATTTTAGCCCTTGCTTTTGTGAGCAAGAATAACATAGTGGTTTAAGAACATCAACTTTGCATCACTCTCAGGGTTCACAATCTTGGCTCTGCAACCTACCTTAGGTAAGTTATTTCATCTCTGTTTCTTTATCCATAAAGCATGATTAATTGAAATACCTAGATCACAGACTTGACTTGAGGAGCTAATACATGTGAAATACTTAAAGCATTGCCTGACCTATGGTGACTGCCATGTAACTGTTATTTATCATCATTATTTAACTGGGCCTCTTTTTACGGCATTTAATAGTGTTAATAATATCCTTCTTGAAATCCTCAATCTCTTTGGCTTCTGTGGTATCATTCTTTTGATGTGTGCATCCTTCTCTGTCATCTTTTCAAGCTTCTCTTTCATTATCTGACTCTTAAGTACTGATGGGCCCCAGAGTTATTCTGGATTCTCTTCCCATTTGGCACATTATCTTCGGGAAATTTCATTCACTCCCATCGTCCCAAGTACCGACTGTACTCTTTTAATTACCAATTCTTTTTGTCTCTCTCTATATATCTTTCTATCTCCCTCTCTATCTCTGTCTCTGTTTCCACCTCCATCTGTCTGTCATTGCATCCAACAAGAATTCACCGACAATTATCCCATGCCAGGCACCATGCCGAGCACTCTGGCCCAGATCCACACAGCCAGTTCGATTTCTCCCTCTGTGTCTCAAAGGCATCTGAAATGCAAGGTGTCCAAAACTAAACACATTACTCCCTAATCTCCCAAACATGTTCCTCGTTCTGTATTCTCTGACCCAGAGACAATCATTATCACTCACCAGGGTGCCCAATCCAGAATCCTAAGAGTCACATCTGAGTTCCCCATCATTATCTTCCCTGCTTCTAATCAGTTTTTAATTCTACCTCTTAAATATTTCAGTCTGCTCTATGCTGGTTGTATGCCCAGGCTCGGGAGTCAAATCGCAGCTATGCTGTTGCTGACTGAGCAACATTAAATGTAAGTTGCTTCGCCTCTCTAGACCTCGTTTTTGTCCTTTGTAAACTGAGGGTGGAACCTACTTCATAGGGATGTGCTGAGTATTAAATTTTATGGTCTATGTACAGAGCACATCTCTGTGCCTAGCACATAGAAAGTATTCAATGAACAGATTATTTCATTAACATCATCCCTATTGACATTGTATTAGTTCAACTCTCTGTCCTGGCTAACATCCTAACTGATCAGCAGTAACGTTCTAACAGGTCTTGTATCATCTTGTCCCTCCTCGGCCCATTCTTCACACCACTGCCCAGAAGTCTGATCTAAAACACATTAGCATAAGATAGAAATGTAGTGAACTATGAAGTGAACTGTTTACCATCTCTTAGTTATTCACACATGGAGGGGGGAAGTCTCCCCAAATTGGATCTACCTGAGAATTAGTATCAGGTAAATGGCAAAGATAGAGATTTGTAATCAACTTTCACGCACAGATCACATTTGCAAAATGTTGGCAAACTTCCTCCACAGCAAATACTATTCATATCTCTTAAGTTTGGCCTACCCAAAGCAAGTGGTTAAGGTCATTTTATTGCAAGACTCTTTGTTAATTGTCCTGATTCTTTATTAATTGGCCAAAACATAATGGAAATGAATGCTTACAACTATTCTCAAAACCAAAGGAAGTCCACTAAGAAGAGCTGGGTAGTACTGAATTTTTTTTTATCCTCACCCGGGGATATTTTTCCAATTTTTGTTCAGACAGAACGGGGGAGAGAGAGAGAAACATCAACATGAAAGGGACACATCGAGTGGCCGCCACCCACATGACCCAACCAGGGCCAGGGACTAACTGCAACCAAGGTCCGTGCCCTTAGAGGGAACTGAACCGGGTCTCTCTGGACCGCAGGCCGATGCTCTAACTGCTGAGCCAAACCAGCCAGGGTGGGTAGTACTGAATTTTTACGAGCATTTTTAAAACTCTGAATTGTCAACAAACTAAAGAACTTAAGGGACTGAAAGGGATACAGTAGGAAAAGAAGATTTAGTTGAAATTTATTGTTTTAACCTACGAATTCAACCATAACAAGGCTAGGCAATGTTAAATCATGTCAGTAAAACAGTTATCATTTGATGTACTGTGAAAAACTTGTAAAAAACAAAATTACACCAATAAATCCTGTATCCCTATTCTAAAGTGGAAGAAACCCTACAGCAGGAGTTAAGAGGAAATTCCTCTTAACCTGATCAGTTGGAACAGGCTAATATTTGTGTCCATAAATACTGATCTATTAGATGCTAGCCTACCTGATAATGTCAGCTGCCAGTAACATTTTGTCATGTCTTTTTGTTTTTATCCTCTTTACAAAGAGGAAAGAGGAGGAGGAGAGAGAAACATTGGTCAATCCCCTCTACCCCACCCCGTACACCATACCCCTTACGGGCCCCACAACCTTTCTGTATAGAGATGACACTCCAACCAATGGAGCCATTTGGCCAGGCCAATGTGTCTTGATTGAAACAGAATCAACCTGCACCTATCTGTATCACTCAGACTGGAAAAAGTCTCCCCAAGAAAGGCATTGCTTAGTTTAGCAAGGCAAAAGAATTACCCTGAAAATGTGCAAATAATCAGTGAAAACTTAATCAACCTTTATACCATGTTCTAAAAATAGTAATAATGACTTCCGGTCAAGATGGCGGGTAGGTAAACGCAGTATCGCGTCCTCCCACAACCACATCAAAGTTACAACTAAACTACAGAACAACCATCATTCAGAACCTCCTGAAATCAAGCTGAATGAAGTCCTACAACTACGGAATTAAAGCAGCAGCCCCACCGAGACTGGTAGGAGGGCGGAGGGGACGGGCAGGTCCCACACCCACGTGTGGCGGATAAAAATCAGGGGGACACCTCGGCTGGGAAGGTCCTCCCTGAGGACTGAGGGGTCCCCATCCCACACCAGATGCCCCGCTCAGGGTTCCAGTGCCAGGAAGAGAATCCCCATAACTTCTGGCTGGAAAACCAGCGGGAACTGAGGCTCAGGGAGGCTGACACGGCTGGAGCCCCAGGCAGCTCCTTAAAGGGCCCGCGCACAGACTTATCGGACTCGCTCCCTCTAAGCTTGGAGGGGAGGCAGCTCGAGGGGCACCAGAGACACACAGGGAAGAACTGAGCTGTTTGGCACTGGAGTGAGGGCTGGAGAGGTGGCTTTCTCTGGGACAAACGTGCTGTCAGAGGCCTTTGTTCCTTTGGTGAGCCCTTCCCTGGGGCAGCAGACAGAAGCCATATCTGGGACTCCAGCAACCTGGCTCACACTGGTAGCCCCGCCCTGGTGACTCCCTGAGGCCCCGCCCCACCCAACTTTCAGGCCCACCCAAGCTGTTGCCACTTGCTTAACCATAGGATTGGCCTGTCTTGGATCTTGCTTCAGGTTTTTCCTAAATTCATTCAAACGAGCAGCATCTGGTCTCAGCTAGCCCCATACTTCTCGTTAAGTAATACACAGAAACAAACACAGAGAGGCAGCCAAAATGAGGAGACAAAGAAACAGGTCCCAAATGAAAGAACAGAACAGAACCCCAAGAAAAGAACTAAGCAAAATGGAGATAAGCAACCTAACAGATGCTGAGTTCAAAATACTGCTTACAAGGATGCTCAATGAACTTAGTGAGGACCTCAGTGAACTTAGTGAGGGCCTCAAGAGCATAAAAAAAGACCAGTCAGAAATCATGGATGCACAGTTAGAATTGAAAGAGGCATTAACTGAAATAAAGAATAATTTACACAGCGTCAATAACAGAGTAAGTAAATGAAGGAGCAAACCATCAATTTGGAATATAAGGAAGCAAAAAATGCCCAATCAGAACAGCAAAAAGAATCCAACAAAATGAGGATAGTGTAAGGAGCCTCTGGGACAACTTCAAGCGTGCCAACATTCGCATCTTGGGGGTGCCAGAAGGAGAACAGTGAGAACAAGAAATCAAAAACCTGTTTGAAACAATAATGGCAGAAAACTTCCCTAACTTGGTGAAGGAAACAGACATACAAGTCCAGGAAGCACAGAGAGTCCCAAACAAGATGAACCCCAAGAGGCCCACACCAAGACACATTATCATCAAAATGCAAAAGGTTCAAGACAAAGAGAGAATCTTAAAAGCAGCAAGAGAAAGGCAGCTACTTACCTACAAGGGAGTTCCCATTAGGCTGTCAGCTGATTTCTCAAAAGAAACTTTGCAGGCCAGAAGGGAGTGGCAAGAAATATTCAGAGTGATGAAAAGCAAGAACCTACAACCAAGATTACTCTATCCTGCAAAGCTGTCATTTAGAATCGATGGCTATATAAAGACTTTCCCAGACAAGAAAAAGTTAAAGGAGTTCATCACCACCAAACCGTTATTGTATAAAATGATGAAGGGTCTTTTTAAAGAAAAAGATAAAATATATGAACAAACAAAATGGCAATGAATACATATCTATCGACAATGGAATCTACAAACAAAATGAACAGGCAGAACAGAAACATTCTCATAGATACAGAGAACATTTTGTTGGTTGCCAGTTGGGAGGGGGGTTGGAGAAATGGGTGAAAAAGGTGAAGAGATTAAGAAGTAGAAATTCATTGCTAGACTGACAAACCTCAAAGGGAAAGGGGTTGGGGGGGTGGGAAGAAAGAAACCAAAGAACTTATATGTATAACCCATGGACACAGACAATAGTGTGGGAAAAGGCGGGAGGGGGGCGGGAGTGGGGAGTAGGGGGTCAGTGGGGAAAAATGTGGAACATCTGTAATACATTCTACATTCAACAATAAAGATTTAAAAATAAATAAATAAATAATAAAAATAGTAATAATAACCGTATGAAACAGCACTTTTTCTATTATTTATTTAACCCCATTTTTAGCCAAACACACAGAAAATTAATATTGTTCACTCTTTAAACAAAGCAATGTTACTCTCTTGATTATCAACTCAAAAGAGCCAGAGGAAAGAAATATTCTGAGTACCTTATTTTTTATGTTGAATCAGCTCCGCTTTGAAAAGATCCTGCTGCATATCAAACCTTACGGAATAACTAATGTCTTCATTACTGCTTTCTTTGGAAGTAATTTCATCTTGAGCTATGTTATTAAAAAGTTATAAAAGATAGAGATGTGAAGATCACAATTAGTTCCTTCACAGATGAAACCACAAAATTAATGAGGCAGCATTATTCATACAGACAGAAGGAAATTTACAACTGTTACCGCTATTATACCAAAGAAAAAAAATGTTAAAAGGCACCGTTCCGTATCACCAAACAACATATCCTGGTTACAAATGTATGTCATTACATGTGCATGCATTTGGAGAGTTGGGAAGGAATTCATTCAGAGATTTCTTTTTAAATGGCTAAAGATGAGAAACATTTTTTTTTAAGTATTTTTTAAATTCTTCCTCCATCCAAAATACAAAAATTATATTTCAAAAAAATAATTGTTAGTAAACAATGCATTGAATTCCTTCTAAAATATTTGAGACTCAAATTTATACCTCCATTAACTCTTTCTAGAATGTAAAAAAATGCACAGATCTAAAGATGTGCACAGGTTTACATATTGTGCCCACCAGGCTTTTAGCACATAAAGGGGGGAAAAGTATTTAACTCAAAATAAAGTTTAAGCATGACTATGACTAATAATATATCTAATTTTAGCCTAATACCAGAAGTTCCCATAGGTGGCAATTAAAAAAAAAAAAACAGCATAAGGTGATTAAAAATATATACATGAATCCATTCCTGTTGCCTCTATAGAATTTGATGAAACTAACAATTCCCTGCAAGACCGATTACAGCTGCTGATGAAACTTGGTGAAACATTGCATGAGTCATTTTTGAACCTTTCAATTTTGATCTACAGCTATTACCTTCTTCAGAAAAAATCTCTAGCAATAATCAACATTTTCATCATGTTGAGAAAAGAAACTTTGCAGGTAGCAATGGTTTATCTTTCATTTGACTCATCGAGTCTCTTTCAAGTGTATGCTCCATCTCTGGAGGTAAATTCAGTGGCGTGTTCTCAAGAATAGCCTCTCAGTCCTATTTTCAAGCCAAAGATGACTGTGCTGCTAATATATTCTTTAACAGATGACTATGGCGACACACTACTCCATTTAGTTAAATGGACTCTATTCACCACAGGCATCTAACTCTTTCCTTTGTATCATTCACCAACACTCATTTCTTAGCACAAACATTGGTTTCCTTCACATTCTGTGCAATATATGCTTGAGAACAAACCTACCATTTTCAACACTTCCATCATTGTCCCTACTTTACAATATCCTACAAGGGCAGTGTGGCATAGTAGAAATTACACGAGTTTTGAAATAAGGCAGATCGTGGTTAGAATCCCAAGATCACCTAGTAGACACATGACCTTGGGAAAATTACCTGCACTGTATCTATTTCACAATTTGTAAAATAGGAAGAATAATACTTCATTTGCACATTTGTTGTAAAAATCAGATGTAGAACATATATAGATGTACTCCTCACCCCACCAAATGATAAACACAAAGGCTTACATTGAAGCAGTAAGTTCTTTCTATCTTTTTGATCTCTATCTTTCTGCACAGCAAGGTAATGAACACTTTGTATTTTGATGATGCTAACAAGCTCTCCATAGTTATCCTTGATCCATTTCTCACCTCTGTTGCTTTCATTCTCATCCAGGTGGCCCTCTGAGAACTGGACTCAGCTCCAGAATTTCTATATAGAAAGAACTTGGAAACAACAATCTGGTAAGAAGGAGACATTAGAAAAATTGTCTTAAAACCGAATTTCAGCCCTGGCTGGTTTGGCTCAGGGGTTGGAGTGTCGGCCCAAGGACCAAAGAGACCCGGGTTCGGTTCCCGCTGAGGGCACGTACCTCAGTTGCAGTTTGTCCCTGGCCCTGATTGCCTGATTGGGGTTTTGCGAATGGCAACCACTTGATGTGTCTCTCACAAGTCAATGTCTCTGTCTCTGTCTCTGTCTCTGTCTCTCTATCCCCCCACCCCTTTCTCCCTCCCTCCTTCTTCTCTCTCTCTCAAGATAAATGCAAAAAAATGTCATCAGATGAGGATAAAAAAACAACAACGAATTTCAGTGTAAATGAGGGACTTTTGCATTGATGCTGTGCTTGCAAAAGAAGCACCCTGTTTTTATCTAGGTTGTATGTTTCAGGGGTAGCTGTTCAGGACGCTGATGGAGATACAAAAGACCTCAAAGATCCCCTTGTCCCATTGTGTCCCTCCAACATTTAGCCCATCATCAAACATTATGCTCCATGGCACTTTTCAAAATAGCATTTGTAGATCCCAGTAGTGTCCATGCCCAAAACACTCTTCCTTTCTCACAACCTAGTTATTCGTCCATGACTACCCTAAGAGATATTACAAGTTAGAAACTACTGATTCCTCATCCCCTGATTTGGACCAAAACTTTTGTTTTTTGAATCAAGAGAGCTGCAATATACTGACTGATGCTGAAGCCAGACTGCCTGTGTTCAGGCGGGTGAGTGACCTTGGGCAAGTTTCCTTCTCTCCACCGAGCCCTCAGCTTCCTCATCTAGAAAGTGAGGATAACGGTGGCAATCCACCCCATAGTCTTGTTGCAAGGACTAAATGACTTAATAACTATAAAGTCTGTCATGTAGTCAGTGATATATAAGGGTTAGCTTTTATTATTATTACTAGGTTAAAATGGTATACACACAGAGATTCATATAGACACTTATTTAAAAGCAACTGCCTCATAATCAGCTCCTCTCGATATATGGTAACTAGCCCCACTGAGTGGTGCCTAAAATCCATTTTTATCTCTAGCAAAGTGTTATTTTTTTTTCATGCATTCTACATATATTTATTGAATACTTACTATGTGGCGGACACTGCGCTGTAAGCTGAGAATATAATGGTGAATAAAAACACATATTACCTCTCCCCCGGCGACCCTTATGAGCAGTGGGGGAGGGACCACCAACCCAGTAACCGGGAAACACTAACCATGAAAAATCTACCAGGTGAAGTAAATGAAGAAGGCCAATGTGCCAAAAATCAATTTGCAGAAAGCCAATTTGCCAAGAGCCAATTTTCCAAAGGACTGATTCTCTGATTCCCTGACAGACAACTCATTGAAAGCCAGTTCGCCAAAAGTCAATTTCTAGAAAATCAATCTGATGAAAAGTAATCTGCCAAATCATCATTTCACCAAAGGACCAATTCAGTGAATTATTAGGGAGGTTTTGAAGTCTTCATGCCACAGAAGCTTTGACACAGTCCTTTCGTTGCAGCTCTCTAACCCCAGATTCGACAGTCTGGGCTGAGTGCCAGTTTCAGGTTTTCACGTGTCAGACGCCGAGCCCTCCCCTAATGCCCGGGGATCTAGGACCCCAGTGAAACCTCACCATGGGCTGCTTCTTCAGTGCACTTTACTATCGTCAGACTTAAGTTCTGCCTGCCTCTGCCTCTCCCAGAAAGACAGCTGCAGAGACCTATCCTAGAACAGAGTGACAGAGTGGTCTCTGCAAACCGACTTTGGCCAAATTTATTTTTAGCAAATTGGTCATTCATGGAATTGATTCTGAGTTAACTGTTTCTCAGTAATGACCTAAAGTTCCTGCTATGAAACTAGGGAATTTGGCCGTGTCAGACTGGTAAGAAAAGGCGTCACTGAGGGAAAATGCAACTGAACTGAGGTCAGAAGGATCTTTTTTTTTTTTTTATCCTCACCCGAGGATATTTTTCCATTTTTTGTACAGATAGAGTGGGAGGGAGAGAGAAGAAGGGAGAGAGAGAGAGAAACATTGACGTGAAGGGACACATCGAGTGGCTGCCACCCGCACGACCAACCAGGGCCGGGGACAAACTGCAACCGATGTACGTGCCCTTAGCGGGAACCGAACCCGGGTCTCTCCGGACCGCAGGCCGACGCTCTAACCGCTGAGCCAAACTGGCCAGGACGAGAAGGATCTATTTTTAAAAGCAATGAGCAAAAGGGGGAGGAAACACCATATGCAGAACCTATGTGCAGTAGGAAGCACTGAAACTGCAACAGTCTGCAGAACAGCCCATGTGGCTGGAGCAGAGAACACTCGGGAGCACAGAGGACATCTGAAGCTAGAAATATAGTTTGGAGCTAGACTGCTGTCTCTCACACACCACAGGAAAGACTTCGGTTATTTTAAGAATGGGGATCCTGAATACATTTTAAGTAGAGGAATAACACAATCAGTTTTACATTTTGAAAAATCACTTTGCAAGTGGTGTGGAGACCATATTTTAAGAGCGTACCGGTATAGATTATTTTCTTAACTGAGAATTTATTATTGCAATATTTTAGGAGAGAGATGAGAGGGCTCACCTAGGGGGTGGGGAAAAAGTGGAGTGAAGTAAATTACTTATAGAGTTATTTAAGCAGTAGGAACAACAAAATTTGTAATGGAGGATTGGGTACTAGGCTGAAGAAGAGGAAAGTGTCTTGGACAATTCCAACACTTCTGGTTTATATAACTAGATGGTGATGCCATTCCCATGAACGGACTAGATGACCATATTTTATAATATTCTCTTTCAATGTATGTCTGCGTATTTGTATATTGTATGTATTTATTGAATTATCTTCTTTCAAATTTAAGTTATTAAGAAATTAAATGTGAATTTGTTTGAGGATATTTATGCAATTTGGGGTCTCATGTAGGTAGGTATTCAATAAACTATAATCTTTTAGATCCAGGCTCCATCATTTACTAGGTGATTGACTTTGGCACTTAACTTCTCTGTGCCTCAATTTCTTCCACCTTCAAGAGGGGACAATACAACACCTGCCTGGGAAGAAACCAGCTAACAGTTCCTGCAGTCCATTCTCTCCCTTTACTAAAGGGAAGCCCCAGGAAAGGAAGAAGTTGCCCTACTTAAATTTCCTTATGAAAATACTAATGACAAAGCTCCCGGCATACTTGGAACAAAGTTAATTATGCCAAGCAATCATTTCATCAGATGACACTAGTGAGAGAGTCCTTGTTATGCACCGAACTGTGTCTCCCCCAAAGCCACATGTTGAAGCCCTAACCCCCAAAGTGACTATATTTGGAGTCAGGGCCCCTATGAGAAAGTAATGAAAATTATGTGAGGTCACAGCGTGGGACCTAAATCTGATGGGACGGATGTCCTTCTAGGAAGAGGAAGAGATGCACAAGAGCCCTCTCTCGGTCTCTGCACACACAGTGAGGCCCCGTGAGGACATGGCGAGACGGCTGCCGTCTACCAGCCCCGAGGAGAGACCTCGGCAGAAACCCACCTGCACTTTGGTCTTGGACTTTGAGTCCCAAGAACTGAGAAAACGAATTTCTGTGGTTTAAGCTACCAGTTTGCGGTATTTTTAAATGGCGGTTCTAGCAGACTAATACAGTCCTTACCTATGGAAAGACGTTAGCAAGACATACCTGGTCTATCACGTTTGTTTAGAGTAGAAAATCTGGAACCTAAGGATTCATGGGCCATGGTACTAGAAAATGTCATATAAACTAGTAACTGAGTATAAAATGGAAATGTGTCATTACTGGAAAAGCTCCCTTTGTGTAAATAACAGAGTAACTTGCATTACTTCCTTAGAGACTTCAGTGAATCTGTGCCAGAGTGAATCCTGATGCAGGAAGGATGAGGGGATCTGTGCTGGTGGGCTCAGACCTCTCTCTGCGAAGCCTGGGCCTCGTGGTTGCTGATAACAAATATCAGGAAAGCTTGATGCAGGGTAAGATCTCTGATTGCCGTGTGTCTGGTTTCATGATGCAATCCTTTGTGGTCACATCACCACCTCAGGGAACTGTGGGGAAGATGAAATAAATCAATGCTTCTGAAAATGCAGTGCCAAGTTCATAGCAAGTACTCATTAAGTATTGCTATTATTAATATATTATTATCATCCCAAGAAATAATGAGAGCTCTCATTTATAAAATGAATATTAGGTGGCAGGCACTTAAGCTAAGTGCCTTCCATGGATTATCTCATTTAGTTGTCCAAAAAGCCCTAAGTTCTATGTCTAACACCATCCCGAGAAGTCCGAAGCCTGGAAATGCTCCCAAGGTCATACACCTAGTATATTGTGCTACTGCGTTTTAAACCCAGGCAGTCAGTCTAACTCCCCAACTGAGCTCATGTTCTTGATTCTCAATAACACTGCCTTGTTACACTATTCTGTCTCTGAAAACCATTCCAGGTGCTATTTTAGTAGGATGAAAGTATAATTTATTAACTAGCACCAAAATGGCCTTAAAATGTTAATGCAGTTTCTGAATATATGTGACTTCTACCCAGGGAGTCACTTACGTCAGGAGACGTAGAAATAGGGAACACTATCTATTCCTTTTACTCCATTTCTAGAAATGTCATCACCATTTGATATTCCACTGAACATAACCCCCATGTGCTTCCCCAACAAGGGGCACGGGCTGGTCAGTTCTGAAATAATGAGGTAAAACTGGAGCTTTAGGAAAACTGGCACGAGGTTTGGAGAGTTTCTCGTTTTCTCTCTGTGCCCACAGATCATGTAGGCTCTTTCATGCCTGCATTGCTTTCTTTTAAACAACAGGGATAAGCAAAGACAAGTGAGAGATAGGAGTCAACTCTATCAACTTTGCTAACAGCAATAGTTAGATCAACATACATGACTGACATATTATTCCGGACGATAAAAGAGTATGGATAGGATTTGAAATTATATTTTGAAATGGCCTAGGCTTTCCACAGCTTTTGTTATATAAATTATAATGAAAAACTATAGGTATACTCTGTTTAGTCTTATTCCATTACATTCCTTAAGGACATTCATTGTATAAAATGACTGTATATTGAATATTAAATCTTATTTCCATGGATTTTAACAATCCCCACAATACTGAGAATGAATGACTAAACAGCAGTGTCCCTGGCCCTGATGCCGGCAAAAGGAAGATCTCCTAACAGTGTTACTCAGGAAGCATTATAGGGGCCATGTTTCTGTCCATTGTGGTTTGGCTTTCAGTCTGAATATCAAACAGGAAGCAGTTCTCCCTGCCCAAGGGAGTAGACCATAATCTTTGCATTCGCAGAAAATAGGGTGTGACAAAGAAAACAAGGTGCACAGCAGTCATATGAGAAAAGCACCATACTTGAAGTATGCACTAGGAACTACAGATGAAAAGGTAAAGAAATTTCTGCAAATAATAATAACAGCTTTGATACAAAAAAATGCCACCATTCCATGGCAGATTTGCATTGAATCTTCCAAAGGAAGATTAGGAGGACCTGGATGAAAATAAATCCAAAAAAGATAAGAATACTTATTAAGGAAGAAATGAAACTGACAGTAGTATCCCATTTGTAAATAATTAATATTTAATCTGATATACCTATACCTAAGTCAACTGTATATAGAAATGCATATTTGTTGTTTTTAGAAGTCCTTGTGGCAAAAATTTATTTCCCTACGTATTGTTAGAAAGAGATACCATAACTGAAAGCACCTATTGGGAGAAGCAATCTGCCATGGGCAGTTAGCATCCTACACTCTTTCAGGGTATGCCAAGAATGCACAGCCCTGAATACCCTTTGCCCTGGCCATTTCTCAAGGTTGTATTTGCAGAGAGTAAATTGAGAGATAAGGTAATGCATCCATCCCACACAAAGAACAGGCTTGCTTACTGCTCGCTATAAAAACAGCAGATTCCCAAGTTCAGTGTTCCTGTCTTATAATATAAACAATTGCATGTGCAGGTTCCCAACCATGCCCCATGTCAATGAGGCACAAGGGAACCAATGCAAACATACTGATGCATCAATGAAACAGTAACAAGCTGACTTATTAGCTTACAAGCATGGTAAAGTAAAAGCCTAGAACAAACTCACCCTGCTTGACATGGTATTGAAGATCCCAGGGTCCAGAATAGATGAATATGTTTATTTTGTGATAGTTTTTTTTTGTAGAGCAGCTTTAGGTTATAGAAAAATTCCACATAAACTTTAAATGATTTTCATACTCCGCTGCCCCCAATTTTCCCTATTATTTACAACTTACATTGTGTGATACATTTGTTATGATTGATGAGCCAATGTTGCTATATTATTAACTAAAGGCCACAGTTTACCTTAGAGTTTACTTTGTGTTATGTATTCTATGAGTTTAACAAATGCATCATGTGTCCATCATTACACTATCACATAGAATAGTTTCACTGTCATAAAAACCCTCTGTGTTCTACCTCCCTCCCCCTTAACCACCAAATGATACAAGAGGGGAAAGAAACATTTCTTGTGTGCCACTGTGTGTCAGACACTTGATGTACACTAAGATATTTAACCCACAAAACATCCCTGGGGGTAAGGTGGTACTAGCCTGATTTTGCAGATGAGGAGGGAGAGGTCCAAGTATGTAACTTACCCACGGACACAACATAAAAGAGAAGGTAGAGTCCATCTAGTTAGGTCTGTTTTGAAAAACAGTGATACTTCATTAATCTGAAAGTTAAAAAAGTATGTGACACTAAAAAACAGAAAGATAACTGGCCTGCTTTGTTCCTAATTCTCTGGTTCTTTGTTTGCTACCACCATAGGCTATTTTTCTTAAGTTTTTTTTAAAATTTTTTATTAATTTATTTTTGTTATAGACGTTTCTCCTTTTTTCCCCCATTGACACCCTCCTCCCCATCCCCCTCACCCTGTACCTGGCTTTGTTGTCCGTGTCTATTGGTTATGCGTACCGGGGACACTTCAAATGAGCGCTCTGGCTTGCTCTTTACATGAGAGTACTTATAATTAAAGCTGAGTCAAGCTCCATCTTCCTAAAATACAAATACTTTCTACTACATCAAAGCCTAGGACAGACTATCTCAGCTTGTTTTATCTAAGACATAAAGCTCCCTGTTGATACATGTTTGAGAAGGAGTATGTACAAAACCTCAGAAATAAGGCAATAAAATTTCATTTGAAATATTTAATGACCTTTATGATGCCAATGTCCACATCATCTTAAGCAAATCCTGCAATAGATATTCCAGTTACAGTAAAGAAAGCTAATATGCATAATTCCTAAAGTTTTATAACATCACTAAAGAACTTAATTCCTGTCAAATCTCTCTTTAAAAATATTGATATTATGCCAATTGAGGATGTCCCAGAATGAATTTTCACTAATACCAAAATTCATTATTCAACAATTCTTGAGTGCTGCATACTGGGAGACACTGTGCTGGGCGCGTAGAAAGGAGCTGGAAGGAAGACAAACATGACCCCTGTCCTCACAGAACTTACCTTGCAGGGTAGGAGAAAGACAGTCAAGAATTAAATAAAAAATAATGAACTGTGATAAGTGCGAGAAAGAATTACAGGATGCTCTGAAGATATTTCACAGAACATTTGACCTGTTTTGTAGTTAGTTAAGGCGTCCCCTGAAGATGGGACAGCTGGGATCTGCAAGGATGAGCTAGTGAGACTTGGGAAAAGGAACTGTGAGAGGGAAGATAACTACAGTTTTATACATACACATATATATTCACAACAGTAAAGAACTTATCTAAACAACTAGAGAGATTTGTTGCAACCAGAGTCATTATTTTATGTAAAACATTCCAAAATTAAGAGGATCATTTCTATAAAACTTTTAAGAAAAAACTTTCAGCCCTGGCTGGTTTTGCTCAGTGGTTAGAGCGTCAGCCTGCGGTCTGGAGAGACCCGGGTTCGGTTCCTGCTAAGGGCACGTAGCTCAGTTGCGGTTTGTCCCCAGCCCTGGTTGGGTCGTGTGGGTGGCAACTCCTCCCACTCTATCTGAACAAAATATCAAAAAATGTCCTCGGGTGAGGATGGAAAAAAAAAAAAAAGAAAAAACTTTCAACTCCTGTGGTTACATGCCCCTCTCCAAACCAGTCATAACCTTAGTTGCCCCCAACCAGAAAATTGTTCAACTCTCAACATTCAAAAGTAGCAATAATAGTTCTGAATTCCTGTTATAAATAAGTGAAGAGGAGACACATGGATCTAGTCTTAAGGAGAAGGGGGTTGATCAAAAAAAAGAATCAAATAATAATTAATATTCCCTGCCACTGTTTTTTCCTGTATCATGTGTTGATGATTTTAGGTACCATACAGAGACCCATTAGCTTTTTATGTGCCTACAGACATTTATGTCCTTTTTTTGAGGTTCAGTGTCCCCCACCATTTTTATTTTCAATTCATGTTAGCCAGTTACGACTGCTTTGATCTTTTGGGATTTTTAAAAAAATCAAATTTCAAGTATCCAATTTTGTTTGAATGTACCAATTAGTAAAATGTCTATAAAACAAGACACTACTGCTGTTCAAACTCCTCTCAGGCAAGAGTGCAGAAACTTACCACTAGCTTTTGAAAAAGCTCCTCTTATGATAATGAAAGTCTTTGAGATAGCAGCAATAATTGCTGTATGATGTAAATTAAAGGTAATGAACAATAAACCTTGATTATCTTCAAGGTCTTCGGATTTCTTCATAATCTCATACACCACCCTGTGCCCTTTACAAGGCAGACATTTTGCCAAGAGGCATTTCACTCACTAAGCCCCAGCTTGTCCTTGAACAGGCATTGACGTTTCACATCTGTTTCTTTTATCGCTTCGATTCTGAAAGTTTTTTATCAAAGACTTTAATCAAAATTAATCCCATTATGTCCTTTATGCCTGTTGGGTTTAGTTGCCACAAAAAGCCAAAGTCATCTTTGGGACTCTAATTTCCATAAGGCTCTGAACATCCTCTTTTCTGACCCATTTTACCCTGTTCAATACCTCAAATCTTTCCACTGTGCCCGCTAAGACACAATCA